CCACAGCTGCAGGGAGCCCAGGCAAGCCAGCCCTTGGACAGGCCGGGGGAGGCATTTAAATGCCTCCCCGATCCTTCCAGGGGGGGGGCCAGGCCCACCCACCTCAGAGTTGTGGGGGGGTCGCTCTCCAAGCCTTCCCCCTGTAGCCACGCATGCAGAGGTTTTGGCTGTAGTGGGTGTGGCCAACTCTGAAGCCAGCCGGAACTCCGTTCCTGTGCGTTCCTGCCTAAACATAGCCCTGATAAGACCACAGAGCATCCTGTGATTCCTAGAGCTACCCTATGTCACGTCTGAGTTTCTCCCAGAAGCAACATTGCGGCTTTCACTGGTTGCCAGGCACCGCATTTGGCATTCTGCCAAATAAAATACAACTGAGGTGGCTAACTCAACTGAGAGGAGTTTTTAAGGGAGACAAATGATGGGAAGAGGACAAATAGGGTTGCCAGTCTCCAGGTAGTAAAAATAAAAACCAAGAGGGGGTTCGCAGGTATCCATGAGGAAAATACAATAAACAACAAACACTGTGACATGAGTGACTAGAACATTTAGGTAGAGGCTGGAGAACTCTCAGGGCCGGCTCACTCACTAGGCAAACTAGGCGATCGCCTAGAGCGGGCTGGCCCTTAGGGGCGCCAAACTGCACCCAGCCCCGTACTCTGGGAGTTTCTTGATTATTTGTGTTTTTCATTCTTCCTAAAATGCATTTATTTTTGAAAATTGGTGGGTGCCCCGGGGGGGGGGGGCAGAAGGGATCCTCGCCTAGGGTGCAAAATAAGCTGGGGCCGGCCCTGAGAACTCTCAGAATGACAACTGGTCTCCAGGTAAAAGAGAGCACTTCCCCTGGAGAAAATAGTCTTTTGTGGAAAGTGGACTTGATGGCATTACCCCCCACTGAGGGCCCTCCCCTCTGCAAACCCTGCCTTCCCCACAACCCACCTCCCAAATCTCCAAGAATTTCACAATCCAAAACTGGCAACCCTAAGGACAAGATAGAAAGGTTATTTTTAAAATGCAGGAAAGGAAATGTGTGATCCTTTTCCCTCCCCTTCCCCTTTTTGGCAGATAGTTTTCATGACATTTAGACTAACAATAAAGCAGGAATATTCTGAATGTGTTTTTTCTTCTTCTAATAGAAATGACAACATTTTTCTTTTAGATATGTCCTAGGAAGTGTCAGTCCTAGTATGTGTCCTGCAGACTAATTCGTAGAGTAGTTTTGATCTTTCTCCAGCCAAAGTCACTTCCTTTGCTACTTATCTAACACCTTGTACATTTTTCCTTGGTTCCTATTTCTTGTAGAAAACATTCCATGCAGTAACAGAACACTAGCATGATGTAGCACATGACGAAATTATGAATGGAATCATTAAAGTGGCAAGGAAATCTAAGTATACTTGTAATGTTATATGGTCCACGCCAGTTGTAGCCACTCTTTTTGGCACGTGTGCTATTAAGTGCAAAGTGCTAGTCACCCCTTCGCTTCCCTCTTCTGCCCTTCTCACTTATCCAGTAGTTTCTTGACAAGACTGTACAACAATGATCCTGTAACAAGTACTGTACTGTATGGGGATCCCGCCTCCTGGAGACCTGGCCCTGGAGCTGCCAAGACAAGGAACAGAGGGGCCAGAAGCCTTGGAGGATACGATCTCAGGGTAGGCAAGTCCCAAAGCTGCAACAGGCGTCGTCAGTGCTGCAACAAGGCAAGAAGATGCAGACTCATGCAGCTAGTCAGCTAGCTATCCTGGCAACCAGTCAAAGGAACAGAATTGGGCCTATTGCCGGGATTAAGGGAGGTGAACCTAGGTTTTCAGAGAAGCCTGGCCTAGAAGGACAGGGCCAAAAGGAAAGGGTGGACCAGTGAGGTAGGGTTGCCAGCTCCAGATTGGAAAATACCTGGAGATTTGGGGGTGGAGCCTGGAGAGGGCAGTGCTTGGAGAGGGGAGGGACCTCAGCAGGGTATATTTACATAGAATCCACCCTCCAAAGCAGCCATTTTCTCCAGGGGCACTGATCTCTGTCGTCTGGAGATCAGTTGTAATTCCAGGAGATCTCCAGGTCTCACCTGGAAGCTGACTATAAGTGGCAGGGCCAAGGAGGACTCCCTTGCTAATTCTCTCAGTCCAGAGAGTCCGGGCGCGGACCCAAAGGAGGGGCAGGGCAAAGAGGAGGAGGCAACTGGCACAGAAACCCCCTGCCTTCTGAAACTGAGTCATAGGGGTACAGAGCCAGCCGTGGCCATGAAGGGGGAGACTGCAGCAAGGCCCTCTCTTTCCCAGCAGTGCCCCCTAGCACTGTCCTTGGGCAAGGCCACATGCAACCCCCGCCCTTTGTCTTGGTGTGACTGGACCAAGCTGGGAAGCAGAAAGCAGCTTAGGGTTAAAGAAGACTTTATGAGAGCAGGTCTGATTGTGCCATAGTCAGGTTTTGTGAGGTTTCCTGCTGTTGTCTAAGCAAGCCACCACCTCCACTGCTTATGCCATTTCTCGCACCATCACTGTGGTTTAGCTACATGTGGTCCATCTATGATCTTCTTCACTTTAGGAAACGGGACCCACTGATCAACCTAGGACAGCTGCATGCCCAAATCTGAAACTTTCTGAATCAGTAAGTAAAAAGGTAAAGGTTCCCTTCCTCGATCAATGTCAATTTTAATCCCAGCGAAGAGAGCATTATAATTGACTTTGAACAGGTCTTTCCAATTTAGTGGTATTTGGACACCTAAATGTATCCAGGTGTTCTGCACCCACCCAAGAGGGCACAGTGATCGTAGCACTTCCGCTGTTCCCTGTTTAATACAAATTGGGTAAACTTCGGACTTGCTATAGTTAATTCTGAGACCCGATATCAGGCTAAAGTTTTGTAGCGAGAGAAGGACGGGAACGGCTGAACTACTGACCTTCCACAGCCTGCAGTTCAGCGTCTTAACCACTTGAGCCACCGCAGCTCTGCACCTCTTCAAATCAAGGTGACAATCATTCTCACCTTCCTGAATGTAACTAAATCCAAAGATGGGATGTTTAGTAATAGCAAAAACCAGTGGCGATAGCGGACACCCCTGCCTCGTCCCCCTCGTGAGACCAAAAGCAGTAGATTTAATTCCATGCTTATGCCACTTCTCACACCAACACTGTGGTTTAGCTACATGTGGTCCATCTATGATCTTCTTCACTTTAGGAAACAGGACCCACTGATCAACCTAGGACAGCGGCATGCCCAAATCTAAAACTTTCTGAATCAGTAAGTGCACTTTTTCAAATCAAGGTGATAATCATTCTCACCTTCCTGAATCTAACTAAATCCAAAGATGGGATGTTTAGTGTGGTAACTCTTGCCTTCAAGCTGAGAATAAGCGGAGATAAAGAAAGGGAGTTGGAGCCGCATCAGGTTTTTAAAGGTCCTTGTGAGAATGATTCCAGGAAAAGTTAGGAGGGAAGCAAAAATCAAGGGTTGCAACACTGATAATCCAGAATTTACAATAAAGGAAAGGTGCTGCTGTCTTTCACTGTGCACTGACTGGGATAGAGCAGCCCACGGGCTGAGACTGCTCTTTACATAGCGTCACTCCATGTTGAAAAATAAGTGCACTGACTGGTGCTGCAGTGATAGGACACTAATTTGGTGCCTATGTTTAGGGCTACGATTCCAGAAAGTCAGAAGAGGAGGTTTCCAAGAGAAATAAGCTGTGTGACTCTGAAGTACTTGGCCTGTTTGCAGAACTGCACCTGGATAAACAAGTGCATAAACACAAGGTATTGACAGCTAGAGTTATTTTATTTCCAGGCTTACATCCACACAAAGGCTACTCACTCCTCCCCAGCTATTAGGAGGCTTCAGAAACAGATAACAGAGACACTCATTTTTTCAAAGGCAGCTTAGCAAACTTAGTTTAAATTTAGTCTATTAAAAATAGGTGAGACATCTAAGTACAGTATTAAGGATCCCAGCACAAATCCATGTAGCACTAGACAAGCAGGTTGGTGGTAGCTTTGACAATAGG